AACCTCCTAACCGTGCTAATCGGGCAACCCACGTCCCATCCAGCTGTTAGAAGCCTGACGCACGCCGCGTCGGGTATGGGTACTTACATGCGTCCGAGGATGCGCGCGGCAAATTGCGCGGCGAGGTGCGTGGTGATTCGAACGACTCTGGCGCCTAGCATTGGGGCTCAAACTCGAAGTAGAGTAGTTTAGTAGGGTCAGCTGATACTACTGATCTACTCTACTTCAAATTTGGGCCCCAATGATAGGCGCCAGAGTCGTTCGTATCCCCACGCACTTCGCCGCACAGTTTGCCGCGCGCATCCTCGGACGCACGTAAGTTCCGTCCCCCCGCCGCGTCTAATAGAAGCCGCGCCATCGATCGGGCGTCTATCAGTGGATGGATAGGCAGTGGGTCGGCTCATCGCCTGGACGAGTTGTCCAGCTCAAAACGGGTCGAATGGGGGCGCGATGTTAGGGGCCGCGCCAAATGACCGCCTCCCCTTTTTTCAGTGTTGCTGCTGCGGCGCGTCCTGACCCTCACGGAATCGTGTGGATTTCTCACCCATACTGTTTCACGCTCTCCCTAGTTAGGTTACATAGCATTTTTTCTTCCCTGGAACTTTAATTGCATGAATATCATAAATCTCAGTTGCCTGATGTAACTTCGCCCATATCTGTGTAATCTGATACCACCAACTGTGGACGAACCAATGATGATGTACGATGACGATTCAGAAGGCGAGGAATCCAGGAAGATCGCCGAGGACCTGAAGACGATGCTTCGGAAGAAGGCGCCGGAAATATCAGTCTCGATCTGGCGTCAGATTCAGCTTCAATAGCGCCACCGTCTCGGCTTTCTAACGAGTTCCGTTCGGCAGTGTCCCTCTAAATTTGGAAATTCTGGGAGAGAATGAGTAAATAGGTGAAAGTAGCATATACCGTCGAGACAGATGCCATGCTTCCACGTCCTGAATCCATTCCACCACTACTTTGACGATGTCGCCCGAAGACGAAGCGGTTCAGTCCAAAACGAGGTTGATTCTTAGAATATCCATTAAAGGCTCCACGTTTGGAAATAATCAAAATCAACTCTATCAGTTCTATTATAAGTGATTAAATTCAAATCAGTTCAGGCAGAACTGTGGTGTAAACCTAAGGAGGACGAAATCGAGGCATTACCTCTGATGGTTTCCTTCTCTTCGGTATATGCTCATGATGGCTTTCGCTTGAGTGTTCAGATAAGTCGGACACCTCAAAAACCATCTTGGGGATAGTAAATAATACAGGGTGTGTACAAGTAGAACTAACTTCTGGTATTGAAGAGATTCGTTTCGACCACCCAAAGGATGGCCTCGTTGAGTCAGATGATGGGCGAGACGAACACGAAACGTTGTCTTGGAACGACACTCTAGGAGTCGACCTGAAAAATGTCTGGCTCTTATTCAACGGATATGGATCAGTTGTAGGCAGTACAGTCCGAGTTGTCAGATGTTCATGGAGTGATGTTGGCCGTTTTCATTCTGTATCATTCTCTCAAAGAGCACAACTCAATCTGATACAGGACTAATTGAATCCAGTGCCAAGCGATGTGCCTATAGATCCGTATTATTGTTTTGGTGGATACTTTACCAAGTTGTGGATATATTTTCCGGAGCGTTGTACTTCCCGAATACTTACCTCCGTGGTAAATCAGGTGTATCGATCTCCATCATGGGTTGATTGGAACAATTGGATCCACGTGGTGTACTGTTCAGTGAAGTCATTTGGCTGACACCCAGTCTTGTTGGACTACCCACCTGAACATCTAGCATTACGGTTTTGAAAGTATGTAGTTGTGTGTAGGCGCTTTTACCTCTTCCCGACGACCCGGGGGTTGGGAATGATAGAAGTTAGACAATGTGCTGGAAAGAAAATATCATGAAAATGCTGGAACAGCAGAAGTAGGAGAGGGAGGCAAATCATACTTCAGAGCTACTCCCGATGTACTGGTTATCCGCCTGATCATCGGTAGTGCTTTCGTCTTGACATTCCTTTGAATGATCTGAATTTAACATTTTATGAAATGTGCATATAATTTCTGTCCAAGGTGAAGATAAACCTAGTAGACTGTCGAAAAGCCTTGGTTTCTCAAACAAGTGATCGGTCATTCCGATTGTTTACAGTTTTTCAATTTGAATAGGCTTATTCGTATAAATCTGCACTTTACCGTACACCACATTGTGCCAACAATTGAATTTTTTCATGAAAAAAATACCTTTGTGAAAAAGACGTATAGAAATGGGTTGGCTGAGGCGTTGATCGGGAAGAAGAAGACCAAAAGGAATTTGGCGCTGCTCAGTGAAATCAGCGGATGACCCATAGCGGCAGACAATCCTGTGTGAAAAAGAAGCTGTAGCTGCATAGAATAGGAAAAGCGGTCAAATGTTATAAAGGTTTAGGGAGAAACTATTTAGGAAACAACAGTCCTTCAATCTTACACAGGTTCCTGCTCCTGGTCCTCTGAGGGAATCTCCCCCAATCCCGTTCCCCCTCTCTCTCTCTTTTCCTTTTCCAAGGAAATGAATTGATATTCCGTTTCTGTCTGCTTGCCGACGTTCCCACATTACCACTGATCATTTGTTGGGTGGGTAGAATAATTCTCAGGATCAGTGGTCGTTCAGGCCGAGTTTCAAATCTTGCCCAGCAGCATCCTAGGCGTTTTCCAGTTTATCATGCGTTGCGAAAAGGTCCAACTGATCACCTGCGATGACCCTTTATCAGGCAAACTACCGAAGATCACTTGCTTATGCCGTTATCAGTGGGAAATGGTCGAAAAAATCGCAATTAACCGATCACACCAGAGGTCGTTCTCGAGAGTAAATATGCAGGGCAATCACTAAAGTACCGAAAAATAGCGTCGGAGCCCAGCAGAGAAAGTCGGCGCCAACCAGCCATATCATTTTCTTGATAATAAGATTGTCCTCGGCACGTGATGGTGTACTTGGATCCTTAATGAAAGGGCGATTTTGAGAAATAAAAAGATAATTTTGAAATTTGGAAATCCATCCAATAGTAGGTACTAAGAAGAACATAGAAAGGAGAAAAAAGTCCATACTTTCAGCATGAGCATCAGATAGCCATAGCAGACGACCATTGCGATGAATGCGAATAAGTTGAACAGTAGAAAGAAGATGATGTACGCCTGTAAATCGAGTTACAAGTTGGAAAGTAGATTACATGCGAGATATTGTAACTACTTGAATAGGTAGATATCCCGTATTGTTGCTTTTGGACTATGGGAATGCACCTGAAGGGATTGCTCTTGATTGATGGATTAGCAGAACAAGTAACTTTAAGGATTCAGGGATTCGAAGACATCGGAGGTTCCTCTCCTGATCAGTGTAGGGTGCAATTGGCCTCAGAGCAGTTATGGTTGGGCACGGTAGGCTTAGGCAGGTTCACGATCAGCGATTACGATCATCTGAGGCCTACGCTGGATGTAAAACATCTTGGGTAGCGGAACTTTTCCCCGAACGCGGCGTCTCTCCGTCTCCTTCTATGGGGGATCCAAATCTTCCCCTTCATAGCAGGCGATCGTGTGCGGCGAGCGCGACACGCCGTTTGGGGAGAAGATGCTAGACTCAGGCATCTTGAAGCGAGGTACATAGTACCCCTATCCGATAGTCATAGAAATATCACTTTGTGCTTACCCTATCGCCAATGTTGTGTAATCTCAATGGTAAACAAATACTGGCTGTAGAATAGCTTGAGAGGCCAAGCAGAGGAGCAGTAGCCATCATTAAAGCGAAAACCCATCCGCCAGCCATCATGGCGCATGCTACTGGAAAGCGTAGACGTTGACCATAGAAAGCGTACCTAAATGCTCAAATTTGTTCCGAACTGGGTTCATTACAACTCAGAGGTTTACAAAGTTGTAGTTTCGAGTTGTAACCTCCTCAACCGGGCAATTAAGTGAAAACTGAAATGCCACGGTATCAGAAGCCATCCAGAGAGGAATCCGACTTAGACGGTAGTTTACAGCAACTACAGTAGCTACAGGCTATACTTCCACCCAAACTTTGTACAAAACCAACTCGGCATTGTCGCCAAGCCTACCGAGGTTGTGGGCGCAGGATCGGGGCTACGTTACCGAAACCAACCGAATGGGCTCACCTCGTATTGTATGCCATTTCGAAAGCAATGAAAAACATTGAAATTATGCTCAGCTCACTGGACAATACGGCGAAAAACCCGGCCATGCTACATCCTGAAACGGACCATTTAGCAGTTCCGATTACTAACTCCGACATTTAAATACCAACCATAGCCCGTCTGCCAACTGACGGCATGTCTATAGTATTCATCACCGGTTCGAACATCTTGTACAGCCAACACAGCCAAATAGACACCTAAAATTTATCAAGTCTTGCTTACTTCGGGTTTAACGACATGCTCAAACAAACCGGTGATAAGATCAGCAATGGCGAGGTTTATCATGAAGAGGTAATGTACACGCATTCGCTTCTCAAAGGCCAAACCGAGTATCACCCAGACAAGGACGTTGCCAAGAATGGCTGCCGTACACACAGGCCAAATAGCTTTCCGAAGGATCCATAGGCTGAAAATATAAAATTACTTACTGCTGAACCACTACAGCAACTCGACTAGGCAGTAACCTACCCAACAATGTTCTCACAAGGATTGAAAGCGTCCGGCTGTGGTGTGCAGGTGATGTTCTGATAGAAACCTTGTACGGTAGCCACCTCTTCCACAGCCAAACATCGTGTAGCTCCGATCTCCGAAGGATCGAATGCTGAAAGTCGATAGCGATCAATCGACAGAGTTAGAACTGCGTCGAAATACTAGGGGAACGAGTGAGCTCTTCCTATAGGATGGTCAACGGGGTGTAAGTCAATAAGCTCAACGAGAGCTCAGTAAACCAGCGGAAATGCTTTTGAATAACTTTGTAATTTAATGGACGAGGTCCATGCGACGTCCCAACTGTAAATAACTACAGAACAAGGAGCTCTTGATTTTCCTCTATGATACCAAGGTAACTCACCAGGAAGGTCATCGTCTTCGAGCTCTACCTGGTCGTCCGCATCACGGAACCACTGTTCCATCAAAGTCGACCACAGATCGCTTGTAGAAGGAGGATTAGATGGCTGCTGGAAGAACAACGTGACGAATTCTTCGACACAGGTCGTTACTAACAGGTCTAGGAGTTGGCCCACATAACCTTCAACGACAAAATGGGGCGAAGTTTTCGCTTTGTAAATTTCTTACTATGCTATACGTACTACACGTAGACGTATTTTCCGAAAAAATGGAAAGGGCGCGGTTAGTGGGATGGGCGGAGTCTGTAAAGTGGTTATGCCTAACTCGGGAATGGTCTTGGTCTGCACTATGTAAATAAGCCCGAAACAACGGGTATATACCAAGCGTTTCTCTCGGACTTCTAGGGTAATATCCGTGACTTGTGTATTTTATCTGTCAAAATCGTTAAAACCTACCTCTCGCCGCTTCCTGCTCGTTTCCCGTTGCTTACAGATACGATGATGGATTTCTCGAGCATTACTTTTGTACAGACCGTTTTCCCCTTCAACCACGTCATCGACGTACTGAAATCGATCGAATGATTGAGGGAGTATCGATTGATTGCTAGCGATTATACCTTGAATAAGCAACAGTGATGAGCATAGGTGAAGTGGGCTGTCTCGAGATGAGTGAAACTCAACACCGGTGGCAGTCTTTTCAAAGTTGGGACATTTTGCAGCGCCAAGGTCTTCAGATTCTTCAGTCCAATTATTGGTAGCACACTGATTGAGGTATCCGAGAGGTCTCTGAGTGAGAATATTTGTATTACAAATAGGTTTTGATCATCAGTAAGCCACAAATACCTAGCCAGCACATACTACCCCAACCAAGAATCATGACTTTACCCTCCACCCATACAATCATTATGGAGTAAGCAACCTAGAACGATGGTTTGTCAAATGCCCACTTACAGGTGATGGAGCTCCGTGATTCCTTTAAAGGCGTCAGTGGACAAGTCGGTGAGCTCCACATTGTTGTTGATGGCTCTGAATTATTGGATTTTAGTCGAGTACTGCTCGGTTTGAACTGAAATGCAGTTTGTTTTATCAAGCTCTGCAAGCGAATGCTTCGTTCCAACAGTATTGCCTTTTGACGGCATGGCCGCGAGCGGCTGCGATGCGTACGTTTCCCCATTTCCCTATTCCGAACTTACAGTTTGACGAATGTGCTGCCAGTGAAGGCATAGCCGGCGATCTCCTTGATTCGATTGTTACTTAATCGAAGAACTCGAGCCCGAACTGATCGCACACGGCCGTCACCAATGTACTGGATCTGAAAAGTGGGGATCACCCTTCAAAGTATTCCAAATCAACAACTTCCAAACAATTCAAGAGACGGACCTGGTTTCCCGACAAATCAATCTCAACATCCATTTTGTGTTCGTCGGTCATCTCTAGACTGGGCATACGCTTTAGGCCATTATCACGTAGAATTCTGTAGGTGGAAGTTCAGTGGGAAAGTTTTCTTCACTTGATAAAACAGAAAAAACAATTTTTATAATCCATGTATTCCCAAACAAATAGCCCAAACGGGTGTTGACCGGAAGGAGGAAGGCTGACAATCAACAAGTACGGGGAGAAGGAAAATTTCAGGCTTCGCGGGCGGCACATTCGCGCAGGCAAAAGCGCGCGGGAAAGCGACTCATAGTGGACCATTTGTCGCGCGATTTTGTCGCTCCCGAAGTTTGAACTCCCGCCCGAATACGTGCAATCGGAAGCGATTAATGAAGTTTCTGCACTCTCACCCAAACAGTGTCGAGGTTTTCAAAAAAATATTATCCAAATGAAAATTTTACTTTTTCGTATTTCGTAAACAATCAGTAAGCAAGTAGGAACTTCTCCAAAACTGACAATGATTGCATCTTCAGATTTCCTTTGAGCAGAACTTCAGAGATCTCTTCAAGTTTTCTGCACCATGTTATTGAACTGAAACATGCGACATTTTTTTCCTCAATTCGACTGACTGCCCATTTTTCTGTTTGACGTCTTCACGTTATCGCTGTTTGGACAGTGAATCAGTGATGGAGCTAAAAATAGCCCTAATGTGGCGAAATAATGGGCGGCAACGACCATGTCACCATTCTTAGACCGGACACGGCAATGATGACAATGATAGATTACCAGTTTTCTTTTTGTCCAGACTTTTTGAACGATTCCTGAACGGTTTCGTACAGAGCAATTATCGGGCGGTGACATGGTCGGTTTTAAACAAAGCAATAACTGGTTGATGTGTTTGAACACAGTACCAGCAAAAACACCCTTCACTGTTCAAATGGCGACCACAGTAGCTAAAAATAGCTGGCAACTTACAATTTACGTAGGTGAGTAAGGTTACGCAATGAATTCCCGTCGAACTCATGCAAATTCGGTGACTCGTAGATTTCTCTGAATCACAATGAATCACTCATCAAAGCTGGTATTCCTGGTATTTGTAAGTAACATAAAATTGCCTTCAAAGTGACCGTGCACCGATTGGACCCTGGAACTCCCATTTCGGAGGTGTGTGTAGGGTTCGGAATCCTTTCAGAGAAGCCCATCATTTTTGGGAGTTTACAAGTGTAAGGAAACGGGAGGCCTTTCCCATGGGTTCTAATACTTTATAAAACTTTCTTAGGGATGATAGACCGAGCCTTTCAAATTTCCTAATCTCCTAATTGTGGTGGGAGGAAAATTTCGTGTGGGCTGGTCGCTGATCTGAGGGGTGAAGACACAGGGATCGTAAGCCCAGAAAGCCGGTTTTTTTCAGATTGTTTTGGGGTTGTACGAGATGCCACAAGGGCAGAGACACACGGTTAGCGAGATGAGGGCGAGAGGAAATAGACATGAA